TCCTCTCCTATATACGGAAATTCAGAAGTGTGGGCAAGCTTTCAGATGCAGTGCTCAGGGAATAGAGGACTATAAACACATTCATGCTTTTCATACTTACATAGCTACATATATCAAAATGGAACGCTGTATGCTTCCCCTAAAATTATATCAAAGCACATGCATATGTATGTACATATGTATGTCAGTGTGTATAAGTTACAAGTATACTTATGTACTCGTATATATGTATGAATGCGCATAAAATGCAATAGCTTTCAAGGTCAAGTTCAAAAAAGCAAAAAATTACTGACTGGCTGACAGACTGGACGCCCGAGTACAGCCAGACACAAAACAAATGATGTTTTTTCTATACAAATTTCCATACAAATACGCCTCCATATGCAGGAGGGTTGAAAGTGCATAAGTATGTATGTATGTGTGTATTTATTTGCGCAATTCAAATGCACATTTTGGATAAGTTGTATGAGTAGGAATAACAAGTTTTTTTTTTCTTTGTCAGCGTACCTTACTTTTTGAGCATTTATACATATATGCATGTACATATGTACTTTAAGCACTTTTAATCTGAAAAATCGACTCTGATTAAGTTAAAAATAATTTCACGCATTTGGAGACTGGAGATTTAAGGGGCTATACTTGGCGAAGTACAAATATCTACCATAAGAGAGCACCGTCTATTCTGGAGACCTGTATCTTGAAAGCTCTTCTGAAGCTTTCGAAAGACAAATTGAAAACCCGGATGATGAGCGTCGCTCCAGAAATCGTTGTCGATATAAGAAGAGGCTTGGCGCAGAAAATTATCACTTTGTTGCAATTAAACAGAAGCTTTTTTTCAAAGGAAAGATGCGTCATTTTGATTTTTAAGAAAGATAATTAGATGAGTTCTGACAAAAAAGATCGTCAACGAGACTCTGACAATTTATCTTTTTTTTTATTAATTTTTATTTTTAGGCAGTCATTTGAAATAAGCAATCTAAAAAAGCAAACCTTTTTAACTCAGAGGCAAAGTCACTTGAAAAAACTTGGCATATGTTTTCGAAAGACCTCCAGCTGTTTTAGCTAGAATAGCACTGTTAGAGTGACTTATAGAGTTTCTCAATAACTCGAGCAAAGTATCATCTGGCGCATCATAAATACCAATATAGAGAATAGCTGAGTTTTAGCGACACCTGGCTAAAATACACGAGCATCTTGAAAAGTACTCGTATGATAAATAGAAATTCGTTTGGAGCTTTTGCCGAACTGACAGGTTAGAAGACCATAAGCCATACGAAAAAAGCTCATACACGTATACGTATACACATATATATCATATATTGTAATATTGTATATTCATTATATGAAAATTCAGAATCTTTTAATGTGGTCTTTGAGAGCATGCCAGTTGAGCTTTCAACTGAATAGAAGAGGAATTCTAGGAGTTCAGGCAAGGTAACATTGTAAGTGCGAATAAACCGATGTAAATTACGAACGAGATTTGGGTGAAATAATTTCATTTCCAGACAATTTGGGGTTCAATTTGTTCAGCGAGTTCGTCAAATTGGTTCGGTATCGGTCAAAATAACTTACCCGTACTCGTTCGCCCAGTGCGTTTAGAGGAAATTTTTCTTCCTGTAGCTTAAAGTGTTGTTAACATCAGCTGTACACCGTTCGGAGAAGCTAATCGTGCCTTTTTGCATAAAAACCTCGGTATAGAGGCTTTTGAAATCCGATAGGTCAAAGAACTGAAGCCTCGTGATAATGAGGTGAAGATCGCTTTTCAGTTTGAGCTCATTCTCGCCATCAGCCAAAGTTGGGGCTCAGAAAATTATACATACGAAACTATGAAGAAGCTAATGCGGCATGTGAACCGGCAGGAACTGTTGAGGTAGAATGAAATGATCAATGTGCTGTTTCAATACGCCAAAGTTACAATAGATATTTTAAGCACTCTGTTCGAAAATAGCATAATAATCGCCGTAAGGTGCGATTAATCTCCGCTGGCCTAGTGGAGACCCTTTAAGGACAAGTGCTACATAAAACATTCAGAGACGATGCATTACTTGAAATATGGTGTTGAGGTCGCCGTTGTAGCTATAGAGGGCCGTACAAAGGGGAATGAGTTGAAAAATTGATAGACTGAGAGAACAGAATGAGTTACTGCCAAGCCCAGCTGCAGTTGTGATATGAAAAGTGGATCACTTGCAACAGCTTCAAATGAAAACGGTCGTGGTTGAAGAGCAGTGAGCCCGGCACAAACAGTCTAAAAGCCAGAATTGACGGCCAGATGGTCTTGTGCTGCGTCTGGTGTGATTAGTAAAATAATCATCCGCTATGAGTTGCTTTCATACAGCCAAAACTTTTACTTCGCTGCGGCATTGTTAGCTATTGGATTGTCTGAAGGAAGAAATCGCCCAGAAGCACCCTGCTTTGGACAATAGGAGGGGAATTGAATTTCATTTGGGCAACGCCAGATCTCATAAATCAATAGAGACTCGCCAGAAGCTTCGAAAGCTTGTTTAGGAGGTTTTTATGCATTCTCCTTATAGTAAGGACCTCGCATCAAGCCAGACATAATGACATTTCTTTCAAAATTGCAAAAAGTTATCCAGCAAAACGTTGAATATTTGTGCATTAATCGGATAATTCTAACTAAGGCAAATAGAGCCTTCAATTTAATGCAAAAATAATGGTTTACTTTTTACTAGAACTAATATGTATCAGTTTTTTCAGAACAATTTTAAAGCGAAAATTTTGCGTGACCCATGAATCTATGTAAAGGGTGATTTTTAAGAGTAATAGGAAAGTTTTTCAAAAAAAAAAAAAAAAAATCACACAAAATTTCGAAAAATGCATGAAATCTTGATTTGATTCGAAAATTTAATCTTTCATGATTATTTCATGCAAATGTTGACTGCGCCTCAAATGGTCCGTCCGCTTAGTAAAATTTTGGTATACACTTTCCAAGATTTCGGTCGGTATCTCACGTATAAACTCTTCACTGTTGTCCTCCAATGCGTCAATTGAAACGGGTTTGCCTGTATAGACATTAGATTTAACATAGCTCCCCCAAGAAATAATCTAAAGTTGTTAAATCGCACGATCCAGGCGGCCAATTCACCAGTTCCGAACGTGAAATAAAATGCTCAGCGAACTCCCCTCCCAATAAGTCCATTGTTCCGCGTGCTGTGTGGCATGTGGCACCGTCTTGTTTAAACCACATGTCGTGCAAGTCAATCTCTTGCATTTTGGGTCGAAAAAAAAGATTGACATCCTCTCAGTGTAGCGCTCATCATTCACAGTTACGTTACGATTCGCATCAACTTTTAAGAAGCACGATCCAATCATGCCACCAGCCCATAAACCGCACAAAACTGTGACTTTTATTGGACGTATTGGTAGCTCTTGCAATGCTTCTGGTTGATCTTCACTCCAAAAGCGATAATTCTGCTTATTAGCCATTAAGCCAAAAATGAGCTTCGTCGCTGAACACAATTTTTTTTTTTTTTTTTTTTTCAGATCGCGCATTTTGATAATAAAATTCAATAAATCGCAAGCGTTGTTCGTTTGTAGTACTAGATTTATGGTTAATTTATAGATCAAACTGAAGATGTCTGACAGTGATACAAAACACGAAACGTACGTCAACTGTTTAAACCAGCGTTGCCAAAAAGATAACAGTTAAAAAAAGCACCCTTTACACACGCAGCTTATTTTTCAGTCCTTGTATGTACACATGTACATATTTATGTACATATGTAGGCTTCGTTGACTGAAACACTTTCGATTTTCAAGGTCTTCTATGTATATACCCCACTACGTCATTTAAAATATGCACATGAAACACAAATACACATAAATACATATGTTCATACATACATACATGCATGCAAGCACACACAGCAAAATAATTCGCACACTTGCCCCATTGAAAAATGAAAAATAATAAAATAAAAAAGTTGCACGATCAGTTAGTTGTGCCTTAATGCCCTCCTTTCTTAAGAGGTATCCTGTTTATGTAGTATATATATGTATAGATATGTGTGTATACGAGTAAAAAAGTAAATATAAACATAAAACTCATGATGGCATTTCGAGCAGATGCATCTTCTCAAGAACACGTTCTTTTTATTCTTTGTCACTCCTTCTGTTTCGTGGCGTGTTAGTTCAAACTGCATCTCAATATTTAATTTTTATTCTTCTTTTTTTCACGTTTTCTGATTTCAAATATTTATTTATTTTATTATAGATACATGTAGCTGTGTGTATGTAATTTTTTGTTGTGTTGCAATGTTATTGTCGCCGCTCAAAACGGGTTTCTTCACTTTATTTTTGTTTACCCTTTTTTTCCACAATTTGTTTGTTCTGTTGCATTTATGTATTTTCTGGGAAGTTTTTCAAAGTCAAGGTTAAGCGAATTGTTGTTTTGGTTCCTCTATATTTTTGTTGTGCTTTTTGTTGCATTATTTTTACAAACGTACATATATGTATGTACACACATTGGTATAAGTACGTATATGTATTTATTCGTTGTAATTTTTTTTTTTTTTTTTTTTTTTAATTTTTTTTTTTTTTTTTTTTTTTTTTTTTTTGGTACGCAATCGCTGCGATATTTTTTAAATAACCCATGTCTGTATATACATAGTAGTATGCATACAAATTTATTTTTTGAATATTTTAAACGAATTGGCATTAAATAAAATTTCGCTTTAATTTATTTTACACGTGTTTACATCGCATTCAATGATATTAATTAGTATTTTAATTCAGTCAATTTTGGTTGAAAATTGAAATTGAAATTAAATTAAATTTATACGACAAGAAAAAGTTTGCTAAAGCGATATTAACATAAATTCGGTATGGTGAAAAAAATTGTAATAAATAATTATTTGCTGAAAAAAAATTAATTCCTATAAAAATGTAAAAGTTTTATATGTATATATTTTTGTAAATCACGCATGGTCTTGTTACTTGTTGTAATTTTTTTTACTCTCTAGAAATCGAAAAAATTTACTCACTTTGCACGGCCAACTGCTGTTGATGCGCTGCTGCTCGCTGTAAAGAAAATAATAAAAAAATAGTAATTAAAATTTATGTTTAATAAATAATTATTTAATAACTAATAAAGGTATATCAATTTACAGGGTTTTCCAATAAGAGGTGTAACTTTGATATTCAAAGAAAGAGCAACAATAAATAAGGGGTTTTCTAGTCTCAGTTATGACAGTGTTGCCAAGGAAAGAGAAATGAGCCTCATCACGCAAGATGATTTTTCGATGAAATTTCAGTTAGTTTTCTTGCATATCAAGTACCCAATCTGGAAATACACGACGTTGTTGACGATCGTCCGGCTTGAGTTCTTGTCTTAATCGAGCTTTATAAACCTTAAGACCCAAGTCCTCATGCAAAATAAGGTGTAATGACGTTTGTGGAATACCCAATTCGAAGGCGCAACAAATCTGCGTGCTCTTCAACACTTTAGGCAACAGATGAAATATTTTCAGTTATTCTGGAGCGTCGTGATATATTCTTCACATCAGTAACTTGTACCAACAGCACCAGTTTTTCCATCAATTTCTGTATTGCGGTCCGACAAGGTGTTTACCACGACCGAAAAAAAATGACAGCTTCAAATGTGACAGCCACCGGAAGAGTAGGCTATTCAAAATAACAGCTATTATTGTAAAACCCTTTATAAACAGTAAGCTTTTGCGGAAGAAGCAGTTCCAAGCAAATGATTGACTTTTTTTTTTTTTTTTTTTTTTTGAAAAACGCAGAATAGTAGATTCTTAGAGGTAAAGAACCGTTTGTTCACCAGTTGGCTTTCAAGAAATCAAGAAAACCAACCGCCAAAAACGAGTCACTCTACACCAACGACAATACCAGCTCTCACACAACGACTGAGACAACGGAATTCATGAGCACCGTTTAGTCAGGACTTGGCACTGAATGTTATCGTATGAGCAATAAACAAAGAGCTCAACGTGTTTCCACGCCAGAAGAGGCGCTTGATGCATACAGAATGCATGTTTTTGGAGATACCTCAATTAGAGCGACATAAGTTGATAGATCTTAATAGAGAATATATTTTGGGAAACAATAAAGTGATAAGTGAACATAAAAGGCAATCCTCGTAATAAATAATTTTTCTATTAAATAATTAATTTTTGTTTTTATCTAAAAGTATAAATTTTCCATTTTACATTTTGCAACAACAGCCGTACACCGCTGCGCTCCAATGCTTGCACATCGAGCGATTGACTGCGTCCGCGTGCTGCCTTCGTTTGTGGCGGTGGAGCGGGCGATGCTGTGGAGGATGATGATGAGTTGGCATAGCGAGAGATCCAGCGTTTTACTGCAGACATTTTTTTCTCAATATATGTATATTGTTGTTATTTATTTATTATTTTTTGAATGTATTCTTTTTTAAATATTTCTTTATTATTTCTTGAACATTTATTTGTGTGTAAATGCGAGGCTTTTACAATTTTGGCGAATGCGGAAATATGTATATCATATATTTATGTTGAATAAATAAATAAATTTTATTTAATTTATAATTAAGGTATTCGTTTTTTTTTATTTTTATTAAAATAAGTAGGAATTGGCGCGTAAATTTATTTTTATAAATTTGGATTCTGTTATGATTTTTTTTTTAATTTTAAATTAATTTATTTTTTCACTTTTTTTTAATAAATTGTTTTCGGTTAGTAACAGATCTTAGCACTTTAACGAATCACTACAATTCAATTTATTATGGTTTTTTTCACATTTCATTTTCATTAGTTCCGCTGTATAATATGGATTTCATGAAAAAAGAATTAATTTTTTTTTATTTTAAAACTTTTTATTGGCTCTTTTATAATTTTATTAATTTTTTTTCAACTGTTTTGTTTATATTTATAAGTTGTTTTGAATTTTTTTATTACTTCACACTTATTTAAAAAAAAAAATATATTATATTTTCTGCATTTTATTTCGGTTATTAGCAACAATAAATATCTTTTTATTATTATATTTGATAAATATGTATGTAGTTATACGCTGCAGGTTTTTACGCTTGAAAATTATTTTATATAGCTCGAGTTATATTTATTTTTTCAAACTCTTAATTTTTTTTATTAAGTCATTATTTTTTTTTTATATTTAAGCACTTATTTATACATATGATGGCGTATATATGTATATGGATGTATGTATGAATTTGCAGTGGTGCTATTGAATATATTTGTAGTCCTCAGGCTTTGTGATTTTATCTTTTAATATATTTAATGTCGATTTTATTATTATTTTATTTATTTTTATTACATTAAATGTTGATTTGTATTTTTTTTTTTTTTTGATAAACTAGGAAAATATTAATTTGTGCACAGATATGCATATATAAGTAGCCTAATGTGCACTAATAATTTGCTTAATTCTCATTAGAATGAAACACTGTTAAAAGCTTTCGGCACGCAACCCTCTCGCTATTGGTAGGCAGATGGCGCTGCGGATGCTTCAACGCTGCCTGTTTGAACTGATTGTTGTGGCTGACTTATGATATGTGTGTGAGTGTCAAGCTTCCGGTAAGATTGCATTATTCACTTATGTGTTGAGTTAGAACGAAATTGCGATGTTTATATCTATGTTGCATGATAATGTGATTTTGCAATAATAAGAGTATAAAATAGTCCAATCTGCATTAAATTTGTTTTAAATTTTTTACTTTAACTATAATTTCAGACAATTTAACAAATGAATAAAAACTCATTATTTTAAAAAAGATTTAATGGTAAACTGTTATGTTTGTTTCTATGATGAGTGCATAAGTTCGTGCCCGATTCCGCTGGATGCCGTTCGAATCGTTTGAGAGTGGCGCTCGTGAAAGAAATATATACATATTATATATCGTTGGAAAGGTGACAGTCCGAACTGTAAATCAAGCATAAAATAACTTCATTTTGATTTGAGTTGCTTAGTGAAAAGACGCATGGAAGATGGACAACGAAAAATATCATATGCGTCATATTATGTTATACGAATTCCGCAAAGGAAAAACAGTAGGCGCTGCAACTAAAGATATTCGCGAAGTTTATTTGGACCGTGCTCCAGCACTCCGCACAGTAAAGAAATGGTTCGCGAAATTTCGTTCTGGAGATTTTAACCTCGAAGATCAACCTCGCAGTGGACGGCCTTCTGAGCTTGATGACGATGTTCTAAGGACTTTAGTTGCGAATAACTCACGTATTTCGACGGAAGAGGTTGCCAGTGAATTGAACGTCAACAAATCAACTGCGTTTCGTCGTTTAAAAAAGGTTGGGTACACTTTGAAGCTCGATACATGGGTGCCACATCAGTTGAGTGAAAAAAACAAAGTGGACCGTATGTCAACAGCAATTTCTTTGCTTCGACGGATCAAAAACGAACCTTTTTTGGATCGGCTCGTGACTGGTGATGAAAAATGGATCCTGTACAACAATGTTCAACGCAAAAGAACATGGAAACAGGCACACGAAGGGGCGGAACCGATGTCGAAAGGTGGATTGCATCCGATGAAGGTACTGCTGTGCATTTGGTGGGATATCCGAGGCGTGATCTATTTTGAGCTCTTGCCAGCTGGAGAAACGATCACTGCCAACAAGTATTGTCAGCAATTGGTCGAATTGAAGAAAGCAATTGATGAAAAACGTCCGATTTTGGCCAATCGCAAAGGAGTTCTTTTCCATCATGACAACGCCAGGCCACATGTTGCAAAACCGACCCTGGCCAAACTGAAGGAGATGAATTGGGAAATCATGCCGCATCCCCCATATTCACCCGACATTGCACCTTCTGATTATCATTTGTTTCGATCGCTGCAGAACAATTTGAATGGAAAAAAATTTAAAAATGTGGAAGACGTCAAAAACCACCTTGACACCTTTTTCAACGAGAAACCGCGCGATTTCTATGAATCAGGCATCCGTAAATTGGTTGAACGTTGGGAGTGGATTGCCGAACATGATGGCGAATACATAATTGATTAATAAAAGCGCTTTCTTCAAAAAATTTCAATTTTAGTTTACACTTGAAGTCGGGCACGAACTGTTGCGCTCATCCAATATATATGTATATATAAATATATATATTATATATTATATGTAAAAGCAATTGTTTTGTTCTATATTTACTATATATACATAATTATTGATAATTGTGTTTATGTGTTGAAATACCCTAAAATAATGTCTAGTGAAAAAGGTTCAGTATTTTTGCAATAGATCGTTTTAGTGATCTGTCATAAGTGGGATTAGATTGCCTAGATGGCGTTAGAAAAATGATATTTTGTATTAAAAAAAAGGAAAGTGTCGATTAAATAATGGAAATCGTCGAAGCTAACCGTCATGAGGGCAATGTTTCGATTGCTTAGGAGGAACAATTTAGTTTGGAATCATTTAAAAAGTGTAGCACGTTGTTTGGGTGCTATATGAGTTAACGCGAAAAAAACCCCATTGACCGAATTTTCGAACGGTGAATCACTGCGGAGCGAGCCATTTCTGAAGCGCATGTCTACTGGTGATGAAAACCAATATCAAACGAAACGGTAGTCATCGAAGAGCAGTGAGCCGGCACAAACAGTATCCAAGCTAGAAAGATTTTGTTACGTGTTTGGTGTGATTGGCAAGGAATCATCCACAATGAGCTGCTCCTCCGCAGGACAACGTCAGACCACACACATCGATAATGCCTCACCAGAAGCAACGAGCGTGGTTGGCACGTTTTTTGTAAGATTGTGAAGAATGCATTAATATTTTAATGGCATTTTGACATGCAGTTCAAACCCAAACTAGTGCATTTAGAAGTAGTATGCTACTAGTATATCACTACCCGAACGAACGAACAGCAAGGCCTCAACCTTCTGCGGTAGTGAAGATGGGAGAGATATTGATATATTGTAAATACTAAAGACTCTTCACAAACAACCTGAATTCCGAAATGACGAGAAACAAGTTGGAATGAGAAGAAAATTATCCATTATAATTTTCTGCAGTCTAACTGGAAGATCAATTCAGAGCTTTACTCTCAACAGATCTTGCAACAAACTCTTTAAAAATAAAAGGTCCAAAATTGATCAATAGAAAAGGTGTAGTCTTCCATCTTGACACTGCCACACCATACACAACTTTGACGAACAGATAAAAGTTGATGGAGCTTATGTGAGTAGTTTCAATGCAATCATCATACAGTACAGACCTTGCTCCATCTGACTACCCTTTTATTTCGATCTTTGCAAAATTCTCTTGATAGCGAAAAATTGGTCGACCAAAGCGCAGCCAAGTTTTTCACCCATAGGCCATTTTTCAAACGAAAAAAAAAAATTAAAAATAAAAAAAATTAAAATTAAAAAAAAAATAAAAATTAAAATAAAAAATAAAAAAAAATTAAAAATTCAAAAAAAAATAAAAATTCAAAAAGAAAATATTAAAAGAAGGCCAATACTTTTTTAACTAACCAATATTTCATCAGAATATTTCACATTAAAGTGATGACGAATCTCTCGAAAGTTTCGGAAAAATGGCAAAAAGGTCTTGTGATAAAAGTGGTCCAAATAATTGATTGATTAAAATTAAATTTCCATAAGAAAATTTTTTTGAATATAAAAAAAAAAATCCGGCAACTTTTTATACATTAACAAAACTTAAAAATGCCCCAAAAAATGTGCAGAAATGTAACAATTTTTTAGCATTGAAAAATTCTGAAAAAACTGAATTTTGCGGACTAATTGTGAATGCCTGGAAAACTGTTTTTTTTTTTTTTTTGTAGTTTTTAACTAGTTTACTTCACTGCAGGGTATTCACATATTTACTTTACATATTTATGTATGTTTGTATATACATATGTATGTGATAATATGTATGACAGTCATTCATCAGTGCTATGCAATAAGTTTTCCACTTTTTAATTGTGTTTATTTCGGTTGATGAGCGACGGAAAGCATTCTTTTTTTTTATTTTTTTTTTTTAAATCTATCTAATCTAATGACCTTAAGTGGTAGTTAAAAATGTAGATTTGCTTTATGAATTATCTGAACAACAACAACAACGCAATGCAATGTAAATAGTTGCAGTGATTCTATTTCTTACGTAAGTACATAAATTGCATTTTAAGCTTTAAAACTTTTGTTACATAAAATTTTGAATTAAAGTTTTGTACATAAAAGATTAATATCTATTATTTACTTATTTTTTTCAATGAGAGCATTTTTGTTTAAATAACAAAACCACTTCATTAAAAAACGCATACCCATATGTATATATATATATATCCTTCTAAGTAGTCTCATGTAAAATTCGTTCACAAACAAGCTTCAGGTTAAGAAATTCTTAATTTTTTTTAGAAACAAAGCGAATGTCATCTTTATATGAAGTTTGTTATAGGATTATTTGATAACACATATCACATGCAACAAATATCTGTACATATTTGTGTGTTACCGTAATAAATTTAACCAATACGTCAAGATAAAAATAAATCAGTAAATTATGAGCTGACACTTTCACATATTTATATTGTTAATACTTATCTAAATATTTGTATAAAAATCTCGTTGAAGAGCTAAATAAATATATAACTACACATACACATATATATATATATATATATGTATATTTGTATATATACTAGTAATCCTACTCAATGCGGTTAATATAAAGCTAAACCTCACAACGAAACTCCATAAATAATCTTACTCTGATTATTGAAAAGCAAATCTCACTTTAACTAAATTAAATAAATATTTCAATAAATTTGTTTGCTATTCGTCAATATT